TATTCTTGATGTTGGTTATATTAAAATCGCTACTTGATACATACAGTGGAATCAGCGAAAAAATAGTTGTCCACATAATAGCAGATAGTACAAGTACGGAAAAGCCAAGTTTGGAAGGCCTATACAATTAATAAAAGATGACAAAGTTCATTAGAGACACTCAAAACTCACTTTGTACGTTTTAGCCTTAAATGAGCCATGGATTTGAGTCAGTTGAAAGTGTGTTGTGTTGGAATAAAGAAAAGTCTGAAATAAATTTCTATATGAAAATTGTGTGACTAACAGAAGTTCGCTCGAAATTTGAAATTTATAAGTTACTGGTTATAAGCAAGATTCTAGCTCATAACTGTCGTTGTCCTATTTCGAACTATGCATATAAAGATCTTTTTACTAAACAAAGTCGATCGATGATGTTTAGGAAAAACTAATAAAAAGTCTTAAACTTCAAATGTCGAGTACGCTTATTTTGATAAAATCAAGTTGCTATGTCGAAATGTGAAATAATAGATTTACCATGTTATCAAAAAAAATACGAGATAAGTACTCGGCTATTTGCGAGGCCATGACTCAGAATAACACTTATTCAAATAATATCAAATTCCTTTAAGGGCCAGGTCACATGGGGTACTCAATCTGGTTGTGTGCCCAGTCAGGCTGCGCATCAGTTAGGATGGGCACATTTGTTCAGCTGAGAGCTCATTTAGAAGTAGCTGTCTAATTCAACTTTAAATACAAATAGAGTTTAAAAAGACCCCACCTCTTTCAAAACAAAAACAAAAGCAAAAGATAAATTTGTTATAAATATCAGTTTAGTTGAGTAGTCAATCAGACTAGGTAAGGAATGGTTTTGAATATTCAGTCAAACTGAATGTCTGTTGAAGATAGATCTCATGATTCAGAGACATCTCAAAAGCTAGTTTCAAAATTGCAGAGCTTCTCAATAGTTTAACGATACTTAATATGAAGGGTATCGTGTGAATAAGAAGAATGCAATAGGAATGGTACAATAGTGATTATGATGAAACAATACCCGAACAGGATCGACGTCGAAGGAGAATATATCAATACGTTTGTTGTGAATATCAACGAAAGAAAATAGCTGCGTAATTAAGTAATGAGCATACACTCTTATATTTTCTTATATTCACGAATGAGTAATGCACAACAATACTTTTTGCCTGCCTCCGCTTGCTTTTGTCTTGATAAAATAACAAGCAAGCAATTAAATACAAATGGCAATATATATCATTGTTTTTTCTCTCAGATAGGTAATGCCTATTATGTATAATTAGTATCATTAGAGAAAAACAATTTTATTTATTGATGAGTTGTTTTTCATTAGTGAGATATAAAATACCAATTAGATGCAAAAATTTGATGTTCGACAATATCTAATTATCTTTCACTAATGAGATATACAAAGGCAATTAGATGCGAAAGTTTGATGTTCGATAATATGTATCATTCATTTTATGTGCAACCATTGTGTATTATAATGATGAAAGTTTTAAAAAACGAGTATTATTCACGCTGAAAAAAATCTAAAAAATGATCCACTCTTGTTCTTTAAAATGGTGCTAATAAACTCTGAAATAATTTATGCCTAGTAAAAGTGTTTATCGAACGAAGGGTTTATGAAAGTTCAACAGATATATGATGGTTATATGTGAATTTCTTTTTCTATTTTTCTATTCTCATTATTTGTATTTATATTGAATAAATATTTTTCACATTGTTCTAGAAATGACGAATAAGATTTAATTATATCGTCGTTCGATTTTATATAAGAATATAATAAATATACTAGAATTATCGAAGTTGATCAATAGATATTTTGATCATAATAAATTAATATAATTTCATTTTTATCACTCATAGTTCTTAATATTCATAATATAATAAAAGAAAATAAAAATAATATTTTCTCAAATACATCATCAAAACTTGCATAAGAAACTATTTTAATATTCAATGATTTCATTTTTTTTCTTCTTTTTATATAATCATTTATTTTTCTAATGTGACTAATCTTTATTATTAATATAATCACTTCATTTTGGATAATTAAAAATACAAATTTTATTTTATTTAATAAAATTCAATATAATAAATATTAAGATTACATTAAAACAAAAAATTTTAATGAAAATTCTGTATTTATTTCTCAAAATTTGTATTCATTTTAATAATTTTTAGACACAATAAGAATTAATCTAATATTTTCATTTAAAATTGATGATTCTTATTACTTATGCATATGAAAATTTTCTCATAATTATTCATTAGAATTATTATAAATTTCTATTTATTATTTTATCCATAATAATAAATGTCAACAAAATTTATTTTATAAGAATAATAAATATAATTTTAATATAAACTATCTTTCTTAATACTTCTTTATTTTTATTTTAATAAAATATTATTGAATATTTATAAGAAATATAAATAAACAATAAGAGTTTTTTTTTCAAATAATAAACTATTTTTAATCTCAAATTTGTTTTAACATTCAATGTATATAGTTACATTAGTATCAAATTCACTGGTATAAGCTAAACAATGCGTGATAGGATAAATAATAGATTTTAAAGAAAATCATTACTGATTATCGACAATTAATAAGTTTTTCTATTATTTCGAAAACATTTCTTTGATATATTAATAAAAAATATGTATATTATTGATTTAACAACTTTCTAGAATCTTCTGTTGTATGTAAACATTTCTATTAAGTTGTTTCTTAATTTCAGTATTAATAATAATATAAATTGTTATTATGAGAAAAAGTTCTGTTAAATAACGACGCAATAATCTTTATTGATCTAATCAACGAAAATTCTTTAGTCTGACCATTTTCAGAACACTTTATTTATTTTATCAAAGATAAGTAAAATTTAATTAATAAGACAATCTTTGTCACAAATGTATGAAGTAATCTTTAACATTAAAATTAATAAATATATTGTTGAACAATTTTTAGTTTTCAAAATTAACTGAAGCTAAATAAATACATAAACAATTGTGGTGCTATATCGTTATTTTTTGTTAACTGTTGAATCACATCAGCTGACTGAAACATTCATTGATTCTTTATACAAAAACAAAGAATTTCATTATTACATGTATTAAATAAAATATAAACTTGTCATCCTAAAGAACTTGAATAGTTTAAATATTTGTCAATAAATTAATTTATAATAGTTATACGAAGTAAAAATAAACAAATTTTATTTTTTTATTTACTATAATGTATGAAGATAGTTAAAAGCTTCTATCATTACCAGGTAAAACTTTATCATGTTAGAGGAATGTAATTATTAAATTAAAATCGTTGAAACATTCAGTTAGTAAAAGCAATGAAAAGAAATTGTTGTCATTAACTAAAATAAAAGAATCAAATAAACATTTTTTAAAACAAAAAATACTATACTAATTGTATTTTCACTATGGCGTTTAGTTAGCACCGAGAGTAAGAGAAGTAGTACTCATATGTCTAATTAAATTCTTTTTTATCATAGAGTTTAATAACATATGGATTATGAATAATTGCATACTTGGTATGATATTTAAGTAAAATAAAATCATATATAAAAGGACAATTCTTTTTCTGCTTCTATACTAATTACAAAATATTCTTCATCTGCGACAACTTCGAAGACGTTTGAGAAAAAGTCTAATATTATTTATTGACAAAGCAGAACATTAAAAACTTTTTTTTTTGTGAACAACATCTTGTCGAATTTCAGGTATTTTTTTTCTCTACATTTTAAGGGATTTCTATGAGTATTTAAAGTAAAATATTATAAAAATCTAAATCCTAGACTCATTAAAACACGTCATTATATTTGATCTATTCAATAATCTTTTTAAAATTTCTCAAGAAAGAATTATTTGATATTTATTTTTATATATTATAAAAACCATATAACTATCATTTTAGATTCGTCGTTATTGTGAGGTATAATGATTGTAATAAATTCAATATGCTTTTTTTCCGTTATTTATCTCAATTAATTTTTTCTTTTTGTTTTATACAAGCAAAGATTTTTCGTTAGAAAAAAAAATATATTAAAATTAAGTAATTAATTTTTTAAAAGAAAACTAGGTGAGTAATATATTAGATGACGACAATAGTTGTACTTTAAATGAAAAGAAAAAAAATAAAGTTTTTTACTGATTGAAACAGATGAAATCTATATAATTAACTTGTCTATATCAATATAAAATATTTTAAATAAGACATGAAGTTTTATTCAAATTTTTTTATTTGAACTCAATTTCTCTTATTATATTTCTCTCATCAATAATGTACTATATAATACTTAACAGGAACGCATACTACTCAAGTAGATTACATAGTGTACTCGATTCAATGATATATTAATAAATAGTTGGGCGAGATTCCTCTCAGCAATTATATGATCTTTTGAAAGAATTAATTCTATTTTAACTCAAAAATATTAATTAAAAACTGTTTAGTTTAACAGAAGATCTTACTGACAATTTCTTTTTTTATCATATATGAAACATGAGGACATTCTACGTCATCATATAATATATCTAAATCAACTTAAAATATCAATACACATTCAAAAGATTATTATTATTTCGAAAATAAACTATTAAGATATTGAATTCTAACATTTATTTTAAATGATCATGACTTTATTTTAAAGTTAGGAAATGAAAAGTTTTTTTTCATTTATTTATCGTTCGTATATAAGTACATCAATGATAAGGACATTTTATTAAAATTAAAAGAAAAAAACAAAAAAAAAATTGTCTTCACTACCAATGGTTTCTTATAAATAATAAATACGCAAGAAACAAACGGCTTTTACTTTATTTGAAGGAAAAAAATACTAATGAGCTTTTTTTTTTACTTTGTTCATATTACAATTTAAATAACGTGAGTATGTACATCAGAACTCTTTAGATTTATCATTAGAAGTTTTCGATATGTTTTGATAAACTAACAAGATCATTTTTTAAGAAACATGTATACAGTCAGTGGTAGTCTGAAATGCGAAAAGTAATAGAGAATTAATATATCAAGTTATATGACTCGATCAGGCGAATGGAAAAAACTAAATGGATAGACTCAGTTGGGTGAGTCCAGTAAAGTATCTTTGTATAATAGTTTTTTTAAAATAATTACGAATTATAGCAAAGTGTATTTTTGATTTACATAAAATTTATTCAGAAAATATTAAAATCTTTTATAAAAGTTATGTTTATGAATTTTTTATTTCAGAAAAAAAATTCAACTATGTTTTTTTCCTATCAACACTTGTTGTTTCTTATTTTAATCTTTTACTTACAAAGAACATCAAGTAATAGACAATCATTTATTGATTTATCTCAACTTGGGTTAGAATTTATTCCGGTTGATGAAAATCTTCTTCTTTTAGTTGATATCAATGCTGATTCAATTATGATTTGTTCAAAAATATGTTTTTCAAATATATATTGTCGAACATTTAATTTTAATATTCAATCAAAACGTTGTCGTCTTTATGAAGGTGATATAGAGAATACAGGATCAATTATTAATTCTCAATCAATTCAATCAGTTGTTGGAACAATTAAATTAACTATAGATGATTTTATTGATTATGGACGTCCTTGTAGTTTTTGTGAGAATAAACCATATTTAATTTGTATGAATTTTACATGCCAATGTCAATCTCATTCATTTTTCAATGGATCAATGTGTCAGAGTCAAAAATTTATTGAAGGTTTATGTACTAATGATATACAATGCCGAAATGATATTAATCTCACATGTCTTTCAACTATGCAATGTGGATGTAAGTATTATTAATAATTTTAATATCCATCTTCTTCTCATTAAATCCAGTTGAGATTTTATTATTTATTCTATATATAAAGAAATATTTATTAATTATATCAATCTCCTTAATACAAAATTTATTCTTTTAAATAGTTTCTACCTGAAGTTTCTTAACTCTTGTCTCTGTTATTTGATAATTCTCGAGATATTTTTATCTTCTTTTGTTATTACAGATCAATACATACACATTTTTTTATTTAATCACACTTTATATTAAGACTATGAACTCATTGCACATATAATTTAAATTCTTTTTACCGATATTAATACTATAACTACTCATAGTATCATCAGATCAGAATCCGTTGGCCATCCATACTCCTAAGTGTATGAACGAAATAAGATCCTCTTTGGAAACAAACCTTCCAACTATACTATTACACTGATTATATCCATCTAATCATAATAACTGAAGAATAAAAAAAAGATTGTATTGATATTAAAGATAAATTCATTTAATTTTCTTTGCAATTTTTAGTCAATCTCACCACAGATGATGCATATGCAAATCTTACTAGTGCGACTATTTTGGCTACTACGACGCATATTGATAGTACTATTTCCATTTCTTCTGATACTACCAAGACTAGCACTATTAGTAATTCAGATGTAATCGGTCTAACAAGTAATTCAACTACCAGTATTTCGACTACTACTATAGTCAATACTATTTCAACAACTGTGTCAACTATTACGACAACAATATCTTCTGATGCTATTAATAATACAACAGCTATATTAACTACTAGTATAACTGCAACCAGTAGCAGCACTTCAATGATAACTTCAGGCATCGGTGATACTGTAACAGCAACTTCAAATACTGATAGTACTACAACAACTACTACTAGTACTGATACTACTACAACAATGTCATCATCATCATCATCATCAACAACAACAGACACAACTTCATCATCAACAATATCGTCAACTACTACAACAGAAACAACATCGTCAACTACTACAACAGAAACAGCCTCATCATCAACAACATCATCAACAACCACAACAACAACATCATCAACAACCACAACAACAACATCATCAACAACCATAACAACAACAACAGAAACAACCTCATCATCATCAACAACAACAACAG